ACTGTAATCCAGACATGTAAAGTGTGCAACTCAGTGGTTTTTAGTATATCCATGGCATTATGCAACATTAGCTGGGCGTGGTGGCTCATGCCTGTAATCCAGCACATCGGGAGGGGGAGACTGAGGCAGGAAGATAGCATGCAGGTTCAAAGAAAGCATCAGCAACTTAATGAGACTGTAAGCAACCTAGTGAGAACCTGTCTCAAAATAAAAATAAAAAAGTCTTGGGATGTGACTATGTAGTTAAGTGCTCTTAGGTTCAATCCCTGTACACACACACACACACACACACACAGAATTATGCAACATCACCACGATCAAATTTTAAACCTTTTCATTACTCTAAAGAGAAGCCCTACTACACCTCTGAGTTTAACTCCATAACCTCCCCTCACCCTAGATAATCACTAAACTACTGTCTGTCTCTGTAGATTTACCTCTTTAGTCAACTTTTTCGCTGCTGTGACCAAAATACCTGACAAGAACAACGTAGAGAAGGAAAAGTTTATTTGGGAGCTCACAGTTTCAGAGGTCTTGAAGTACATCAGATACCCCCACCCAGAAGACCCTTGTTATAACTAAGCTTCTCCAGAGATCCTCAAACATTCTGTTTAGCATAATTGTTCTTAGACTATCAGCAAGAACTTTTATAACAAGAGTTTCCAAGTGGAGGGTGTGTTTGCAGAGACAGAGTGGGACTCAAGGCCTCCAGCCTGGGTCTGGAGGGTACACAGAGGTGTTTGCCTCTCACAGGACTATAGTGAGGTCCTTCAGAGCCAGCTGGTGGGAAGAAAGTGGAGGGGACTCTCCATTTCCTAGTGTCCTTGGCTTAAATTGGGTGCCCAGAACAGTGAAAAAGCTGCTTTTATGTGAATTTCTACAGATTGTGAGCCTTTGAGTCCCTCCACTTACACACTGGGTATAAAGTTCTAAAACTTTCTGAACTCGGGGTTCAGAGGGGTGATTTGATAGAGGCAAAAATCCCCCACTTTGAACCTGGTTGTAGCCAATAAACCTGCTTCCTGCTATTCCTCCGTGTCCAGCCTTGGTTGTCCTACTACAGCCTTAGTTCATAAATGGCCAACTCCATTCCTCAAGGCCTGAAGTGAGGAAGGATATCATGAAGGAAAGGTGCATTGAAGGAAAACAGCTCAGGACATTACCAGGAAGCAGAGAAAGAGAACACCTCACCAGGGACAAAATATATAACCCAAAAATATACTCCCAAAGCCCCACCTCCTCCAGTTACACCCTACCTGCCTATAGTCACACTCAGTTAATCCCCATCAGGGATTAATGTACTGATTAGGTTAAGGCTCTCATCCCAATCATTTCACCTCTAAGCTTTCTTGCATTGTCTCACACATGAGCTTTTGGGAGACACTTAATATTTAAACCTTAACACCTGTTATGGACATTTCATATAAATGATCAAATAATATGTGATCTTTTATAACTGGCTTTACTTAACATGTTTTCAAAAATTCATGTTATAATGAGAATTATTATTTTTTGTATTGGGGACTCAACTCAGGGGTACTTGACCATTGAGCCACATCCCCAATCCTATTTTGTATTTTTATATAGAGACAGGGTCTCACTGAGTTGCTTAGCACCTACCTTGCTTTTGCTGAGGCTGGCTTTGAACTCATGCTCCTCCCTCCTGAACCACTGGGATTACAGGCATGCACTAAGGTGCCCAGCACTTCAGTCCTTCTTATTGCCAAATAATACTTCATTGTTTTCATACCACATTTCATCTATCCATTCATCAGTTTATGGACATTGGGTTGTTTCTATTTTAAGGCTATATGAATGATGCTGTTGAGAACATCTGCATATAAGTTTTTGTGTGAAAACAGGTTTCATTTCTCTTGAGTAAACACCAAGGAGTGAAATTGCAGACCCAGACTCTATATTTAACCTTGTATAGGCAGCTAACCATTTTCCTAAAAAGTTGCAGTGTTTTATATTCTCACCAGCCTATGAGGACTGTTTGAGGTTTATTAAAACTGCAAATCCATTCCTAAGAGTGCAAGTGGGATATAAAAACATGCTATGTTCTTTTTTCCCTCATTCTGTACTGTTGTTATCCATACTACGTTATAAACCCAACAATACTATAATTATTTCATATAATTTGATGTCTCTTAGAGAAAAGGAAAGCAAGTATATATTTATAGTATTAGTTGTTTTCTGGTTTTCTTCATGTATTCCTATGAATTCAAATTACCATCTGGTGTCATTTCCTTACTCCAAATATACTTTGCTCATATTTACTTCCTATAGACTATTAATATCGTGTTATATGTTATAGGCCTTTAGTAAAATTGTATACATACTGTTTTCTACAGTTTCTCTGCAAATCAGTTAAGAAGAAATATGGCCAGACATGGCGACACTCACCTGTGATCCGAGTGACTCAGGAGATTGAGGTAGGAAGACCCCAAATTTGAGGCTTGCCTTAGCAACTTAGTGAGATCCCGTTCCAAAATCAAACTAGAATAAAAAGGTCTGGGGATGTAGCTCAGTGGTAAAGCACCCCTGGGTTCAATCCCCAGTATGGGGAAAAAAAAAAAAAAAAAGTTTACTGTCCAGATAGACAAAATATAGACACAGTACAAAAAAACTAGAATAAACCATGTAGTGTTTGACACGTTATACATATTTGGGGTACAAGTATAATTAAACACGTAAGTACAGTGTGATTATATGGGGTAATTAACATTTCCTTCTCAAACAGTTAGGGAGCTTCAGATTCCTATCCTAATTTTTTGTTGTTGTTTTTAATATTTTTTTAATTGTTGATAGACCTTTATTTATATGTAGTGCTGAGAATCAAACCCAATGCCTCACACATGCCAGGTAAGTATGCTACTGCTGAGCCACAGCCACAGCCATCATCCTAGTTTTTTTTACAAATCAAATTATTATGAACTATAGTCACACTATTGTGCTGTTGAACATCAGAACTTACTTCTTGTAACTGAAGTATTTGCTACTTAGATAATAAAGGTCCAGTTTTGAGTAAGAATTAGAATCAAAGCATACAGTTCCTATTTTTCTCAACAGAAAAGTCCGTTCAAAATGAAGATACACATTACATAGTAGTTAATGGTAAAGCCAGATTCCTAGATGGTAGCAAGCTCTTATCTTGGTAAGTCATCTATACTCCACATTTCTCTTCTGTACAGAAATGTTAATATTACCTACACTTTAGGTTATAAGATTAAAGCATACAGTATAATATGCCTAGAACTGTATCCAGTAGAGCTTGTACAAGTGACTGCTAACTTGATTCTATTACTGAGACAATGGATAAATACTGAACTCCCTCAGGAGAATCATGTCAGTTTCCCCAGTTAAAATGCTTAACTTCCAAAAAAGTAGAAATTGATACAATGTTTATTAGCAAAATTGTTCATATAATTTGAGGTCTCTTAGAGAAAAAGAAAGCAAGTACATATTTATAGCATTAGTTATATTAACTTTATAACAGTATAACATTTATACTGAGTTCTAAGGTGGTTAAATTTGAGATTTAATAAAATAATTTGTTAGGAAATGACTAGGAACTTCTAGTCTTCCAAGTTCTTTAAATATTGTGTGATTTTAAAATGACTTGTGGGCTGGGGTTATAGCTCAGTGGTAGAACATTTGTCTAGCTAGCTTGTGTGAGGCACTGGGTTTGATCTTTAGCACCTCATAAAAATAAAGGTCCATCAACTAAAAAATATTTTAAAAAAATAAATGTGATCTGGGGCTGGGGCTGAGTGGTAGAGCACTTGCCTGGCACATGTGAGGCCCTCAGCACCACATAAAAAATAAATAAAATAAAGGTGTGTGTCCATTTACAACTAAAAAAAAAAAAAGTGATTTGTACTATTCATATACATTGAATTAATGCAATAGAAAACATATCTTAGGGTTTTTTGTTTTTTGATACCAGGGATTGAACTCGGTGCTCTCAAATACGAAGCTACATACCCAGCCCCTTTTTTCAAATTTTGAGGCAGGGTCTCGCTAAGTTTCTGAGGCTGGCTTTGAACTTGCTTATCCTCCTGCCTCAGTCTCCAGAACTACTGGAATTATAGGCATGCACCACTATGCTTAGCAATCTAACGTATTTTAATGTTCTCTTGATGGGGAAGGGGAAATCACTGTCTAAATCTTCTGTTCAATTTTTCTAAGATGCTAATGAAGAATCAGTTAAATTTGAGGCTAGGACTGTAGTTTAGTGGTAAAGTGTTTGCTTAGCATGCAAGAGGCCCTGGGTTCAATTCTAAGCACAGTAAAAAAAAAAAAAAAAAATTATATTCAATTAAGTTTCTTTCTTCTTCTTTTTTTTTTTTTTTTTTTAATTCAGCCACTTTTTACTTATTATTATTTTTTTTTGAGAAAGAATTTTTTTAGTATTTATTTTTTAGTTTTTGGTGGACACAACATCTTTGTTTGTATGTGGTGCCAGGCGAGCACTTGAGCCACATCCCCAGCCCTCAATTAAGTTTCTTAAGATAACTACTGGAACATTATTTGTGCTATGCTTCTGAAATGTTTTTGTACCATGCTCTTAATCAGTCCTGTTCAAAAGTCTAGAAAACTCAAGGCTCAAGCCCTTTGTGCCAAATAGACTTACTAAAGCAGGAAAAAAATAAGTATGTCTCAAAACACACTGTTAAATTCAACAGGACACAATCAACTATATCAAGTCTTCCCTCCCATCCCTAGCCTTACTTGCCAAAGGTACCCATTTTCCTGTGAAAATGAGTCTCCTTAGATTTTAAGTGCCTTTCTAAGCATAGCGGTTTTTTTTTTTTTTTTTTAATACCAGGAATTGAACCCAGGGGCACTCTACCACTGGGCCACCCAGCTCTTTTTTATATTTTACTATTTACATACAGTTTTTAATTTACAATATTTTCACAATTTCCCTCCTTTAGTACCATACTCATTACCAAAAACAAAACAAAAAAGAAATCCAAACCAAAACCCACTTTTTATGTCAACTTCTTATTATATTTGAAACCAAAGAGATTAAGGTAATTTTATGAACTCAGAATTTTTTTTAAGTACATGAAATTTCCATTTTATTATACAGTTTTATATCACACTAGTTCAAATGCATTTCTCTAAAAACTCTTCCATAACTTCTTTGGGATTAACTGAGTCATCTCTAACATGGCTGTGGCTTTACCACTGATGCTGAAGTTAAACAAATAAAATCCAAATGATTGAATTTTTACATTAATAAGCTAAGAAATGGCCTCAGATTAATAGGGGTGTTAATCTCCATCAAGAACTGTTATTGAAATGTTTCTTCTGATTCAGCAGTTATAAGTCAGAATCTTCAAAAAACAAGGGCAGAACAAAAGTACCAAGAAGCTTATGCAGCTTATGCAGTCCTAAGCCCAAGAGAAGCAAGGCAAAGCAACTTTCCTGAAAGCTAAATGGGTCTCCAGTACTTGCATCTAATTGAGCTTTCAGAGATATATACCTAAGACCTATCATCAATAGGTTTACCATCTTGGCTATGGTTGCACTAATTATGCCTAAATAGTTTAATACCCATCCAAGTCCAAAGGTGAAAAAACACATACACTGGTATGGTAATCGGCAAGAGCAAACTATAAAAGCAAAGGCTAGCAGTACTGGTACAGCCCTGTGGGAAGTTTTCTTCCACAGAGGCAGAGTAGAACAATCCTGCTAAAGAGATGAGTGGAATCAGAATAGTCAACGTTGGCAGAGACAGAAACATTCTTCTTTCCCACTTACTACCCGCCACCTTGTCTGAAAAGGTATATAGTATTAAGAAAATTTAATTGTTTTTAAAAAATTATGAGTTAGTGTTGCTCCGTTTTTTCTTGTTTCTTATTTTGCTGTGTCGTCCTAGCTGCTTGTGGTATCATATTAGGAATCCCATCAATGATTGGATAGGCTATTCCCAATTCTTCATTAATCAATTCATTTGTTGAGGCTTCATATCTGAGGGGGGGAAAAAGAACAAAATGAACTGTGGAAACAAAATGCTTCTGAGCTTAATGTTCAATAAAAACCATTTATCCAATTTTTGATACTGTTAATCCCAAAGAGTATTAATTACAAAAGCAGTAGTAGCCAATTCAAGCATTTCTCTTAAGAATCTGTAATTATTTCCATTAGTTATTGCTCATATTTTTTTTTCAGTTTAATTCCCAAGTTTAGCCTTAATTCCTTTTTTTTTTTTTTTTGGTACCAGGAATGGAACTCAGGGGCACTCAACCACTGAGTCACATCCCCAGCCCTATTTTGTATTTTATTTAGAGACAGGGTCTCACTGAGTTGCTTAGTACCTGGATAGGTTGGCCTCTGGAGCCACTGGGATTACAGGCATGCGCCACGACCTTAATTCTTTATTCTTTTCCATACTAGTTAGAAAATATCTCCCCCTTTTATCCAAATATTCCTTCATTATCTAGTCAATCCCAAAATCATCCCAGTTGATTTACTAGTGGTACAAAAACTAGAGAAAGACTGAACTTCCTCCTTTTAGAGTAAATGCTAAATAGAGAATCTTAATTATACATTAGATGGAAACCACAGAAAAATCAAAATATGTAAAATAAAAGCTTGAAGGCAGAAATGAGGAAACTTTGGAAAGCAGTGAGTCTCTAACAGTGGTCCACTTCACCTTTTGAATATAACCCTGAGGGACATATTTTCCTTTTCTTCTTCTCCCTCTCCCTCTCCCTAATCTGGAGGTGGGGAACAAGATCACCTTGAGTTATCTACCGTGTTCTTATTATTGAATTGGCATGGGGACAAGGACCAAGCAAGCTTTCGGTTACAAATCTTCAGTGAGCCAGTTATATAATTAGCTAAAAGGTAAATCAAATGATAATTTCGAAGTTTAAGAAAATGGGATAATACGTTGGAAAAAGCTAGAAAAATATGAAAATAAAAAACTGCTAACAATCTACCACCCAAAGATAACCACGGGTAACCTTTGGTGTTTGTGCAATTTGTAAGTGGTACCAATCAATATGCAGTGTTAGTAGCCTGGAACATGTAGAGCTATTGTCCCAACAACTAGGTTAGAGGTTAAAGACGCTTTTACAAAAACCAGCTAGCCCTCAACTATGTCGGCAGAACTATTAAAATTGTCAGCTATCAGTCTGTACGGAGTACTTTCACAAGAATCTGGAGATTACTGCAATTATTTATGCTTTGGCCCTGTCCTGAATCTCAATGACTCATAAACTTGGCTGTTCAGAATGTACCAATGCCCGGACCCTGTCGCCGAATGGTACCATTCAGTAAGCCCGAGGAGCCGGCGGGGATGGGGTCCTGTCTGGGAATCGGCGTTTTTAAAAAAGGCCCGGCTGATTGGAAAGCGCTGCCAAACAGAAAGCGAACCTCAAAACGCGAGGACCCACTTCCGCGTATCGGCGACTGGTCTCGGGATGTCTGAGGTTACCCTCGGGTCTACTGTCGCCCTGGACGCCGCAGCTGAGGTGCTAGGGAGCCCGGCCATCGTCCGGGAAACCACAGCGGATACGGGACAGACCGGAACACCCCCCCACACACGTATCCCTTCCGCCAACGTAAACCCGGGGCTGGCGAGTCGCACCTGAGCGGCTTCTTGGAGAGAGGACACACTAGGAATTCCAGCAGTGCCTGATCGAAAGTGCTGGACGGCTCTTTCGCCCTCTCGCTCCGATCTGCCAAGGACAGCGACCTTGTCGCGCGGAGGCACCTACGAGTGACCGCGGATGGCGGCGCTCGTGTCCTCCACAGCGTCGAGGCGAGCCTGCAGCGTACTCCGTTCAGCATGATCCGCCGCCGGCAAACTCGCCTCCCTGCGCCCTACGCCAGCCAAGTAGCGTCCCTTTTCTCCGCACAGTCTCCTCAAGCACCGTCGACCAGGCCCCGCCTCTGGTTCACCGAAAAATGCTGCCCCGGGGACACGCGGGCACTGGTACTTTGGTTCCGAGGGAGCACTTGACCCGACTGCTTTTCTCAGGGTTATGATCGCTGCCTTGGGTTGGAGGACTCTTGTGCTGAGCCCTCCTGTGTACAAAACTACAAAAAAAAAAAAAAAAAAAAAAACCTAGGCCAGGTGTATTTAGCACTACACCCACAGCCCCATTCAGTAGATTTGGGATCCCAAATTTACCTCTGACTTCCCAAGGAACCAAATTTGCCTCTGACTCTCCAAGGAATTGGTGTCTGTTTGACCTTTTCTTATTCAGTAGTATAGAATACAACAATGTAGGCTGTGAGGCCCGTCAGCTTGGTTCCATATCCACAGTTTAACTAGATGGCTGAATTTTCTTATGTGTATAATAAGATTAATAATTGTACCCACCTCGTGAATTCCTTCATAATTACGGGGTTAAATGTAATAGTGCATGCACCAGCATTTAGAAAGGTTCCTAGCATAAATTAATGCCCAATTAATATTATCTATTTTATTCTCAATGTTACCCATTGTTATTTTTATATCATCTAGTCTTTCCAGTTCAATACACTAGTATATTCCATTTTTTTTTTCCTTTTGTTGTGCTGAATATTCACTTAAATCTTTTTTGGATTATTAGGTTTTATCATTTCAGCATTGAGTTCCTGGGGGTTAAAGGTTAGTAAAGGATTTACAGATATAAATACAAGTTTATATTTTCAAACTTCTTTTGCATTCAGCAATACAAATATAAACTGAGAAAAATATATTATTTGTTCATCTTATTTTAAAAACCCACCACATTATTTGATGCTCTTCATCTCTAAAGCTTAAAAGATATCCAAATGCTAAGATATCTTATAGGATATGGAAAAGGAAACTCTTCTCTGTGTGAATACATATTTAAGAGATAATGAATTTTTGTCATTGCCAAGCCCTGTCTCCTCTACAAAGAAATCTTTCACAATCAGAACTTTCTGTTATTAGAGATGCTATTGGAGTAGAGTCTGGGGACAATCATTACAGAAATATTCTGAAGAGGAACTGTTGTAAAGTTCCTAGTGTACCTTCACATTATTTCCTGTGAGGGCAGTAGCAAGAATTAATTTTTCAGTTGAAGTTAGTTGATACTTGGGCTCAGGGGAGGTAGGAAACTATAGGAAAGATATATTTCAGCAGGGTGTGGTGAAGCAGAACTTGATTTCTGCCAGCACTGTGTGGGCCCAGCCTTTGGTCCCTTGTCCCTGGGACAAGCACTCAGGCTTAAAGGCCATCTTAGTTAGCTTTCCTGGCCTGACCAACAGATCCCTATCACCTGGGTTTTCTAACCAGTTATAAATAAATTAGTTTCACTTTACCTCCACATAGGTTTGAGGCAGATCATTTTACTTTAATTTGTTTTAGTTGGGGGAAGAATGGAGAGTGCCAACAAAATATTGAAAAAAATCCTTGAATTTATAATATTAAAAAGCAACAACCAATATTTAAGGACTGGTTGAGTATATGACTATATTAGTCCAAACTGTGTGTAAAATGTCAAAGCAAAATGTCCCTAAACAGCCCTTTATAATAAAGGAAGGTGACTGATTTCTGCATGTAGTAAACTAAGCTGAATGTAGGTGACAGTACAGAATCATGGGCCTGAAACAGTCTCTTTTATACTTTTTGCATGACTATAAACTTTCCATCACATAGACATGGGCATGTGTAATCACTTGGGTCTGAGCTCAGTTACAGTATTAGCTATATCATCTTGGGGAAGTTACTTAAACCCACTGCCTCTATCTTCTCACTTATAAAATAGGATAATAATATCTATCTTACAGTTTTTTATTTTGTTGTTGGTTTCATTTTGTGTGTGTGTGAGGGGGGTGGGGTATTAGGGATTAAACACAGGGGTGCTTAACCACTGAGCTACATCCACAGCCCCCCTTTTTTTTCCTGAGGCAGGAGTGGGGGGGTTGGGGGAAGATGGGGATTGAACTCAGGGACACTCAGGCCACTGAGCTACATCCCCAAACCTATTTTGTATTTTTTATTGAGAGACAGGGTTTCACTGATTTGTTTAGCCCCTTGTCCTTGCTGAGGTTGGCGTTGAATTCATGATTCTCCTGTCTCAGCCTCCTGAACCGCTGGGATCACGGTGTGTGCCACCCTGCCTGGTCCACAGTCCTTTTTAGTTTTCATTTTGAGAACTCTCTGAGTTGCTTAGGGCCTTGCTAAATTGCTAAAGCTGGCCTCAAACTTGAAATCCTTCTGCCTCAGCTTCCTGAGCACTGAGAGGTATACCTCCCCACCCAGCTGCCTCACAGTTTTTGAGTGGATTAAAAAGGACAATTACAAGTAAAGGAATTAGCACAGGGGCTGGTCCAGTCTACCCGTTAAAGGAATGTTATCAGCAACAAAATTGCTTCTTATGGTGAAGTTGTGAAAATTGTGATGAAAAGGGAAAGAACAATGTACCTCTGCTATACCTTCCTTTGAACCGAAATGGAATTTTTGTACTTTCCAGTATGGATATTATCAAAACCACAGTTTCTGGACCATGTCATAAAGTGAGTTAGAAACCTCCAGGCAAAGGAGGAACCAGACTACGTATTTTAGCAAAGTTCCATAGGTTCCAAATTTGTGAGCACTGAAATTTGGGAAATTCTAATCCAGAAAGGTGAGTCAGAATAAATTTTCCTCTAGATGGCACCATTCAATATTTGAACTAACACTTATCTATGCTTGCTCTTTTCTCTCTGTGATTACAAAGATTTACTCTCATTTTCCTAGTTGTTGTCCCAATTTAGTGACATTTACTTTGGGAATAAAAATTTCTAAAATCTTATTAATAAATTG